CTGCTTTGTTATTAGATACGTCATTTATGTTCTTTATAACGACCACAGCGAAGATCTCCTAAAAATACTTTAAAAGAAAGTAAATGTTTTCCAATATGGGAAAAATGTCCTTACCGACCTTATGTTTTAATAAAAATAAGTTGAAATTAGTTCACGCTCATATGGAAAAACTTCGCGAGCATAGGTTTTTAAAAGTTTTTGAAGAAGTTATGTGGTCTAAGTACCTTTTTTTTTATTCAATTCATGGTAAATTTCTTAAGACTCAAATGATATTAAATTTTATATACCCCACCGGGCATGGACATTCTGGGGAGTAATTAATAAGAAACTGCTGCGAAATTTTTGCACCCCAAGTACTGGCGCTCTGCCTATGAGTGTACAATCATGCTATTTTCAGCACTGTTTCTCCGAGTACGATTAAAAACCCTGGTAACCGTTGTATCACACACAACCACAAACTATCTGACAATATTCGGAAAGAAAAGTGCGTGAGCCTATGTCAACATAACCTACATTAGGTATTGCCAATTTAGGAGCATGAAAAATTATACGAGACTGAATTAACGTTAAACACTGTTTTTATTGAATAACAATTCCATACTTCTCTTTCAATTATTTACAAATAATTATTAAATGTACAATTCATATTTATAAGGATCTATTGTTAACTATAGAGGTAAACAAATGGTAGAGTATTTCATTAACGACTAGCACGACATATTACCTTACAGTTACCGAAAGAAAAAGTTTGCACCAGGCACTTTATGGCCTCTAGATATAAGGTTTACAAGAATCTCTGAGGAAGCTAGTGTCACAACTTTTGTTGGGCTTTCCTTTTATTTCCAAAAGAGACCACCAAAACTGTTGGATTTCGGCTCTTTTCTTAAAATTTATTTCTTTAAGTGCCCTTACAAAATCGGGTAAAGCTCACGAAAAATCAAAATATTTTATACTATATTGATCGGAATGGAATTAATTTTAGCTCTACCCTCACCACATACTTAAGTGGTATACTACGTACTTTCTCGCATTATTTCTAACTTATACAATTTTCGAAAATGGAGTTCTACAAAAATGAGACCTGGGCCATTTTTTTAAGATTTCTTTCTTCTATCTGAAGAATTATATATAATATATAAAGAAGAATTCAGAGCCTTTTTCGAAAAAAAAGTTTTTTGTATTACATTAATTTCAAACTGAAATTACGCGAAACCTACTCCTTTCAACAAATTTTATCTGACCCTTTTTAAAGCTTTGATTTTCTTAGGGCGGATTTTTAAGACAAAGTGTATCTTCAATTCTGTTTCTTCACAATATTTTATATTTTTTTGCACTTTTCGAAAATAGAGAGTTTACTGGAAATGGGACCAGCATCAATTTTTGTACAATCCTTTGATACATACGAGGAGAGAATTCAAGAAAAAATGTTTCTGAGAAAATAATGGTTTAAAAATTCCCATTTTTTCACGCAAAATTATGCGGAAACTATTAATCTTTTCGAAAAATTGTACACGACCTTGTTTGAAGATGTCTTTAAAGAACAGATGTATAAAAGAAAAATCTCTATCTTCAATATTGCAGTTTTAGGGAAACGCCAGAAAAAAAATGATCTGTTGTAATTTTCGAAAAATCAAGATTTCAATACAAAATAGACCAGCGGCATTCTTTTAATCGTCATTTACGCTATCCGAAGACAACATGACAAATTGAACCCATTTTTGAGAACGTTTTGTAAAGGTTGAGGTTTTATGTAAAGTGCCTTCAAAAAATCAAATTCTCCAACTGAAACTCACAGGGCCTCGAGTTCTTTCAAATCGATCGGGGAATATTAATTTTGGAGAAATCGCCTGAACATTTTACACGCTAGCTTCGACCATAGACAGAAAAAACACACACACAGGCAATCAGGCTGACTAGGCAGGCCGACAGAAGGACTGACGGACATACAGACGTTTTGCCGTTAATCGGTTCTTAGATATCAAGGGATTACAAAACGTATTACAGAACAGCGCGTTAGAGGAAGTAATTTACTACATATAGAAATAAGATTTAGCCACATTTTCATTTCTAGGGCACGACGAGAGGAGTTTTTTTTCTCTCGCAAAGTCGACTATTTCCAGCACATTATTGCTATACCCCCTCATACTGCGCAGTAAAGCCAAAAAGTAAATAAGTTTTCAAAAACTGATCACTTTTCCCTTTTATCCTTAGATAGAGCAAAGTGTGCTTACAAAAATAGCGGTTTCCATTGTCGATGAACACTGAATTTTCGAAAATCGCAGACGTCACAAATAATTTGAGAAAGTATGAGCTGTTGTAGCATCACTTGTTCAAAGCTTGTACTTTGCCATAACTGCTGCTGATCAGTCAGAAGACTATAAAATACATTTTTTTTAAAAGTGAATGGGCTTGAAATGGAAACAGAGTTTAAAAGCTACAGTCATCTCAAGAGTAACTTCATTTGGACTGTGAGAATGATTAAGAGCAAGAGAAGAAAAAAGCAGTGATTTTTACACGGGATAGAATAATCGAATGTTTCTGTAAGAGTTTAAGTCTTTAACATCTTACATTTCAATCACTAGCTACTACAATTACTTCCTAATATAAACAGGCTATGACGCAAATACGTTAATAGTACGCCGGCACCTTTAATTAGGTAAAATACGGTACTCAAATCAAGGTTTTAGTTGGCCTTTTAACCGTAAGAAATTACCATCTACAATAACTAGGAAAAAAATGTGTAATGAATAATATGTTAACATTTTCGTGTTATGATGATGTTCACCCTAAAATGCGTTTCTCAAGTCCTTTTCTGGCCAAAGAAAGCAAACTCTCGAGCCGAAAGCCCATTTGTTTACATATAAACTCACAAAATGGAAAATAACTTTGATACACGTAAATTGAGATTTTATTGAAAGTCGTTATATCAACAACAACGCACATTTGATCTTATGATTTTCAGAAGAATTAATTTTTTTGACATCGACCACACACCTGTCGGTCCTTCTTCATAAACTAATTTTATTCCTCAGAATGTTGCGTGTAAAGTGTAGTTTATACTGTATTGCCATAATTTCAAGACTTTAATTATTTACAAATATAACTGACGCGAATAGGAAATAACACTTTGCAAAGTCTTGCACCTAATACAAAAGTAATTCAAAAACTACTAAATTATTAAATTTATTATTTAAAATTAATTTAAAATATTAAATTAATAAATTACGTTTCATAATTCGATAAAGCGTCGATTTAAAAAAAGCAATAAAATGAAGGGTGAAATTAAGCAAAAAATTACGAGTAAAAAAGCAAAGCATTTTTTGAGCATTTCATTAGTCGTTAAAGTCTTGGAAATTCTTCTGGAATACACTACCTTTTACAAAAATATTTGCCTATGAATCCCTCAAAATCACTAATACAATAGTAATTCAACTATTGCCGTTTTCCTCTTCCCTGTATTAATGGACGAAAATGATCGGCCATCAATTGCCTAAAGGAGACTGGAAACCAACAATATAACAAAGAAAGGATATGGAAGAAATTGGGCGGACAGTAATTTACTTCGTAAATATTAACGAAGCGAGGATCGTGCAGGGTCAAGGCATCACGGAAATCATCAGACGCATTAATCGTGTGGCTGCTTCACTTTATTCTATATAACTCCACGAAACACACATCAATTAACATTTTTTCAACTTACCATTCAATGTAAAGCGACATGTCCAGTGTGAAATACTACTAACTCACAAATCTGCCATTTTGAACTTTGTATCTTCAGAGGATCGGCCACTGCTGACGACGCTAAACAAGTACGAGGATACTGTTAGCTGCATCCGTTTCTCTAAAATAACATGAAATTGTACGATTTCTTAGAAGAGTAACTAAAATGAATCGTATTAATTTCAATGTAATTAAGCGGAAAACGACAAATGAAAATTATCGCACTTCCTTTCCTTTATATTTGTAGCCCATTTGAAGTTTCTGATTGTATGTTTTAAGGCATATTTTATCAGTATATCCAACCGCAGCAATCTTATGTATTTTATGAATTTCATGTGCACGTATTTTCCAAATTGATTTTACATCTTCATTTGTCGGGCACATTCTTGCAAATTAAATTAATTATTTTCACATTTGTCTGGACGTCCAGTTTGATAACACTTCTTGAACTTTTGATTCTTATGAAAAAAATCGCAAATATAAATTCTTCTACAAAGATGGATTTTTTTTTCTCCGAGTCTTCGTTCTTGGAGACAGAGTAAAAAGTAAGAAAATCTGGCAACGTGAAATTTACAATTCCTATATTGAAGAGAAAATTAATGTCCACTTCAAACAATTCCAAATATTTTAAGCACGAAGAATTGCCTAACAAGAATAAGTTAAAACGGAAGGAAAAATGCATATTTTGCTTCGTTTCAGAAACGTAATATTCTAAGGAGCACAAAAAGAATGACTGACAAAATAAAAAACAATACTTCCTAAGCAGCTTGTTATACCAGAAGACTCAAGGCAGTCGCATTACAACAAATGAGACATAACATTTCTATTGTGGTACTGAAATTTTGAAGTCTTTGACAGCAGTATCACGCGAAAATGTATTCTAATCAACAGGGCAGAAGTTTAATCTAAATATTTAATTTTCCTGAGCAATAACAAAAAAGAATTCGCCGGGACATTCACTAAAAGAAATGAAGCAAATAAGTGAATCAGACGAGTAATCACCATACACATTAATTAATGTAAGTAATGCGCTCTTGGGTTATGTTTTAGAAATCATCCGCAACAGAAAATTCAATATTTAACGAACAACAAAATAAAATTTCAATGAATACAAAAGAATATTCTGTTATCACAGAATGGTGACCCTCATACCTCCAATAAACGGAATTCCACCAATACAAAACCCCTCACTATTTCTAAAATCAGAGAACTGTGAAAGGCTCCGCACACTGTTCAGAATGACAAAATGCGGAGTGGGTACTGAAGGAACCCCCCCTCCCGCCGATAACGCAGCCCCTTCCATTCGCAGTCCCGTATCGAGGACAGAGGTCGTTTGTTACAGCAAACCACCTCGATTTTGCAGAGATCACGCCACCGCGGCCGGGTAACAAAAGAGCACGAGGGGGAAGAAGCTATCGTCGAGACAGTAATTCTTCTGTCGCCCATCTTTTTTCTCTTCATATTTAGTCGCGAAATGGGCGAACACGCCGTGGGCCGTGACGCCGACATTTGAGGTCGCAGACTGCTCCCCAGTCGCCAAATGTCGTAGCTAGAAGCGGCAGGGAGACCGCAGCAGGTCTCGAGCGCGTGTCACGGCCGTCGCCGCAGCCGTCGCCGCCAGCACTCGCGTTGCGGCGGGCGCGTGAGTTGTCACTGCCTTCCACCACGTCTCGCCACAGTTTCAAATCCTGTTCCCTAAGGAATTTCAGATGATAAATACTACGGTCGCAATATCCTTTCTTTCCGGCAGAAAATAAAAGGCCTTTACAAATGTTATCACTTCCATATATTTATGAGTTCCCCACCATCTTTTTCCAGCATTACCCCCCATTCCTTGCAATATTGCGTAAATTTATGTGCCCGAAATATTAGGTTGGGCTTGCGGCGGGATCCCTGGCCAGAAGGGTCGACGCGTGGCGGGGAGGAAAGGCGCGCGGGAGGACGGCGACGGAAGCCGAAGGGGAGGAGGGACGGAGGAGGTGGCGGGGGCGGCCGAGGGAGACCCGAGGGGCGCGGAGGCGAGCGAGGCGGACGGCGACGCGGGAGGGCGATATTGTTAGTCGGGTCGGGCCACGACGACGGCGACTATACAGTAAATGCGCTGTTATTAAAATCGTCTGGTGATGGATGGAGGCATCAGTATTGATGTACTGATATTATTGCTGTCGGTGATGGAGTGGAGATGACCACCTATGTCAAGGGCCGTCTTCATGAAATATGGGGCGGAACAGCAGGGTCGAAGGAGCCGCCGACGGCTGGGGCGTCTCCGGGAAGCGGCGGCCGGCACGGTCGGCGGTCGAACGTCAGGCGCCCGCCCCGCGCGACGCGACCCGCCCCGCGACCCGCGGCGCGCCGCAGATTCCGCGCCGCCCATTCGCCCTCTCGCCCACGCGCCGCGCGCCCGCCAGAGGGCGCAAGAAGGCGGACGTGCGCCCCGCGCACATTGCGCGCTCGGGCTCGCTTTCGCCCTTCGTCACGCCACTGACAGCCCGATTCATACTTTTGCACACAGCCGCTGCAGTAGATACAAATCCTCGCCGGAAATCGACCGGAACGTTCCTTTTGCTATTGCAGGAAAGTTAGAATATGTTTCAAACAATTCATGAGATATAAGCGATGTGGAATGAGATACTATTTATATCTGGTTGTAGTAGGCATTCGTTGGAAAAAGGAAAACAATCGTGATGACTTACTCACCGGTACCCTATTACCACAGCATGAGAGTCTAAAAGACATTTCAAAGTCCACACACCGAATGTATCAGAAAAAAATCATGAAGACACTTTGTAGAATTAGAAACAAATCTCTATCAACTTACCAAAATGACGAATTTGCCAGTTGTATGTAAGAAGTGTTATAGAAAAGTGCAAGAGAAACATTCAACAACGAATGAATAAATAGAAATGAATTGTGTCTTGGCACGTTACCTCTGGACCACGAGATTGCAACTACGGTGTTCCTCACAGGATTTGTCGATTGTAGAAACACTGAAGATACTGATAATACCAATTTGTACGTCGTGACACCAGCACTCTTCTGAGGACGTAGCAAAATATATATGCCCAACGTATGGAGGTAAGCTGCTGACGTTTCGCCATAAACGCCACCTTGTTCACCTAGACCCTTCGCATTTACTAACTGACATACGCAATACCCATTTACTCTAAGAGGACAATAAAGAAGGGAATTTAACGAACCGATAGCAAAAGTCGTACTCACTAAACAAGTTGAACGTACACCTTCTCTTCAGCAATTCACGAGGACAACCCATCCTATTCTTTGAACAAGCAATTCCTGTAAGATGTACAAGGAGTAAAGAACTGTATGTCAGTTAGTAAATATCCAAACAAAAAAAAGAAAGAAAAAAAAAACACAATGACGTATCCACTATCTCGCTGAATAAAAAACAGGATGAACACAGAATTCCTTTTATTTGAAAGCAGGGTTCAAAGGGAAACTCAAAAGAAATGCTGAGAGAAAGAGCGAGTAAAGAAACTAACATGTAGTGAGGTGGGGTCGCGGAAAGATGGGGTACGGCCCTGCGCGCGCTAGCCCTAGGCCTACGCCGTGCATGGGGAACTGCCATTGCCACATCTTCGCTCCTGAGAAGTGATCAGGCCCGGGGGCGGCGGGGCGGGGCCTTCCCGGGCCCCAGCCGGCCCCATCTGCAAATTTGGGAAAAACAGGCGTCAGTGTAGCGCAAAAGTAATTACAGCTAAGAGCAAGGGACGGACATAGCTTATCAGTGCAAGCGACTCAATACGAAAACGCTGTTGTATCATTTTTCCATTGCATTTAACGCTATGATTTTCTTCCAGAGAATCTACAGTGCTACTGTTGAGTAGCACTTAAAATCCTGTACAGTATTCTAATGAATATATCACCGTGAGGTGTTTACCTCGATAGATACATGTACGTCACTATAAATAATTAAGCAAAAAAATTTCAGAGCGAACGATAATACTTATTTACGTGTTCAGAATCGACAGTACTCCATTTCACACCGCTATAAATTGTACTTTTAATTTTTATTTACAAACTTCCATTAAATAAGCATACAATATCTTAGACGCGCGCTGCGCAATATTCAGGCAGGTTCGCTTGCATTGACTTTCCAACGTTCCCGCCACTTGCTCTACGTAACATGAATATATTTTACAGAAGTAATTATTTTAAATCAGGGAGAGCCGAAAGCTAGATGCAAAATAAAAACATTAAAACGAACACAAGTGCACACGATATTTTGTGACTGTTAGTGAATTAGTAAAGCGAGTTACGGGAAGCAGGAAATTAATTCCAATAACCAAGCAAAAAGAAGCAGGATTTAAAAATGAAGGCGAATGTGGTGCGTGCTCAGGGTAAGGCTTAAAACGAACACTAAACGACCACACTAAAACGTGTACTTCTATTTCACATCTTCCACACGCCCACACCACAAAGAATGAGAGTACAATCAAGCAAGCACCAAGACAAGTGTGTGTGAAGAAAAGATGACAAAAAGTTCACATACCGGGTGTACAGAACGAAGCACGAGAAACAACACGATGAGAACAGAATGAAGCGGGGCTGGTGAACGATCTGGGAAACTAGAGAAGACAATCGGGAAAAGCCATCCGGCTTGTTGCGGGCTCGCTGCACAGGGCCCGACGATTCGCGCGAGATGCTGGATCGGATACGATACGGTTAGCCCTGGCTCAAGGGCGCTGAGCGCCCGCATCATGGACCGGGCGCTGCGGGGTGGGGGAGGTGCGGGAGGGCGGCTGCTGCAGATGGGGTTTGAGTACACGACGTGAGGGAGCAGTTTGCCGAGATTACAGGGATCTCGCTGAGGGGAGGTGTCCTTCCCGCTCTTTCCGCGATTCGCGCCGCCGCCTCCGCCACCGCCGTCGTCGTCAACGCGCCAAACAAGAAAGGGAGGTCATTGGACAAAAATTGGGTGTCATCTACTCCCATATGCATGCGCGATGGGGCCAATTGATCAAAGTGCCGGCGAGAGGGGAACGTTAAGCTGGAAAGAAGACGAACTGCCTCAATCACCTTGCGCTGCTTGCACCGCGTAATGAAACAACAGAGGAAAGAAGATTCACCCCGAAGATACCAAAGAAAAAGACATACATGAGAGAAAGCACCGCTCACATTTTCTCATTCAAGTGCACATCAAATCGGCGTTTTCGGGCACTTTTTCGGCGACTTCGCGTCAAGGAGCAACCCAGAAAATGAAAGCGGGAAACTCGTGGATATAGACGCATCATGGGCCGACACGAGGAAACGAAACACAGTTAGGCACGGCCGCAAGCGTTCGAGGAGACTTCAAAGATCGTTAGTCCGTTGGCGGAAAGCGGCGTGTGTCCATCGTTAAAAGGCGCCCGGGTCCCTGAGGCTAACAACGTTCGCACCAAGTAGCTTCTGAGGGGCGGCCGTGCACTTTGTCGTTTATTACCAACTTTAGCGAGTCGCCTCGCTAATCAAATAAGGCACCCTGGAGCTGTCACGTCGCTCTTGCGCGGGTCACTTCTTGCTGGCGTGCACGGCACCCCCGTCACAACACTCGACAGCGCGACGGCCCGTCGCCTCCGCAACGGGGGCGGGAAGGGATGCGTGGAACGCGGGGAGACCAGGCTATAATGGCGTAGAGATGGCCAGACACGGGATGCAAAAAAAAGCCTTAGAAGATGCCACAAAAACGTTGAGGCACGATATGAAATCAAATATTAAGAGCTTCTGTGCCTAGGTAATGCGTTGTTATAATTCCAGGTTCATTCGATTATTCGATACAACTCTTCCCGTATCATCGCATATGTTAAATCCCCTTGAATTCCAGACGGTCCTATCCAAGTCATCGCGTTAAAAACATGTGAAGGGGTTTGTAAAAGGACGTAATCATCCGCCAAATTACAAGAGACTTCTGTATCCATTCTTCTCGTAAATTCATTGTGACTTTCGACCAGATTAATTGACATTTTCCTCTCTGCTGGAGATCACAAAATGAAGCAAACATCAAAACTACCATACTTCAGCGAAATAAAATATAATTTTTTCGAATCCATTAAAAGTCTGTTCAGTTCGTACAGATAAGTTTGATTTGTTTTGGACAAAGTACATTTGAAATGATTAATGAATTAGATCCATGTTTGCACAACGTAAGGAATGATTAGATCCATGTTTGCACAACTCACTGCATTACTGAACGTATTTCGAGAAGTCAATGCATCTCTACAATTTCTTTTCTGCAACATCACACAAGAGAGCGACGGGCAGCAACCACTATTCCGTGGATCCCCAGGTCACCACGTCCACTCGGGATCGAGATATCAAAGCGTTTGGAGCCTCCGCCGCAGCGGATGTTCGTCCACGCGTGTGCAGGGCAACTGGGCCGTCGCCTGCCGCGCCGCGCACAGGAAAAGGGGAGGGGCGCGTCACGGTCCGCGCAGCGCGCAAGATACGAGGGCGAGTACGCACTGAAGTGAGGGGAGAATCCGTCCAATTACGTTAAGGGGCCTCTAATAACGGCTCCTGGTAACTCGATAAATCGAGAGTGATTTAGCGGGGTGTAAATCACACGATTTTCTTTCGTGGTCCCCGTACCGGCTGACGAAAAATAACAGATGGCACAGTAAGGAGTGGGCAGGGCGTTGACGAGTATCTATGTCCGCAGGCAAAGCAAAGCAATGAAAACGAATGAGTAACGTTGAAGCCCACGAACGCCACGAGTTTTAACAGCACCTTCACTTAAATAAGGGTTAACATAAAGAATGATTTTTACCTGACACTTAGCAAGCGAATTTAAAGTTCTGAAGTTACGTGATATACATTCCAAAAAATGAATCAGTATTAATGCCCGTGAATAAAACCATCTATATCTAACGTTTTCATGTACTTTTGTCACTGTCAATTGACAATATTTGCCATTTATAACCAGCACATTAACTTCGTTATTCAACTTATAAATATATGAATTTTATACTTTTATTTAAAAAATGTACTTTTACATTCTGAAGTCGCAGCAAATCTAAAACTACAGGGTTTAGAAAACCCATTGAATGTAGAAAGTTTTAACTACCCTCCTAACATGTTGTGCGCCATATGCGCCTAGGGCCTTCCCTATTAATGTTAAGTATTACCGCTTATTTTCTGATTACGCACAGACTGCCACATATCAATCATCGATTGCAATCGCCCAAACTAATGCCGAATGAATTTTGTCCACCAAAGGCATCTATTGTGAAGTTCCAACTGTGTTTGGGAATAAACACAACAGTATCGATTGTTAATCGTTTTTAAATTAATAACATAATTACACACATTTGAAGCGGGCTGCGGGCGGCGCGAGGGTGCCGGCGGGGGCCGCCCCTCTCCCACGCGCCGCGCCACGGCACGGCACGCGCCACCCCGCGCGGCGCGCCGCCTGGGGAACCACCGCGCAAGGGGCCGGAGCGGCCAGCGGGCAGCCGTCAGCCGCGTCGCGTCGCCGAGCTCTCAACCCACGGTCGCGCAACGCATTTCCGAAACGCCTCTCCCAACGAAATCAAGCCAGCGACGGCTCCTTTTTCTTCCTTTCAGTTTCACATCACTTTCAGAGCAGCGTTGCCGGTGCGGTGGTTCGCTAACTTTTAGGGATTCGCGGAAAAAATGTAAGACCGGTACTTTTAATTTCAAATGCAAGAAAAAATAAAATAAAAGCACTTCGTTATCTTTCTCAATTTAAAATTAAAGCATAGTTACTAATCAGTAGATATTCGTGGACATTATAGATAATTCCGTTTAGTTTAACTTGCTAGAATGAATGTTGCTTTATTGTAGTAATTTTGAATACACGTAGTATGGAGAACGTAGCAAAATGTTGTAAAATATCTATGTCGACATTTTCAAGGAAATATATATTGCACGTACATTTTTTACAACATCTCGCACGTTACTACATTACTTTTATTACTATTTATAATACATGAGTAATTTATAATTCAATGCATTTGTAATCAGTCACAAATTCTTCATCACAAAATCTCTCATGAAGTTTTTTGAAATATCAAAAGTTTTCAAGTATAAATATTTATTTCTTCTTTGCATTCATAAGAAGAGTAAATCCGTGTTGCAGAGTCATTAGTTGAGATGTAAACGTTCTGCCTAGAAATAAGGGCGGCGATTCAAACACCTGCACAAACAAATTTTATTTTTCGTTGTGAACTACTAAACAATATGGAAAACAAATTTTAATATTAGACCAATTTTATTACTGTACATTGGCTAATGAATTCACACAGGATTCACTAATTCATGTTTGTCTTTAGAAGAGGTATCCGAGTAAACAAAGTGTGGGGAAAACGGTTTTAGTAGTTACTTTGGGGGCCACCGAAGGAGAAACTTGTTCTTAGTTCACGCTTTGCCAAATCAACACACCGAACGGCTTATATATACAAAACTACCGCGAATCATTGTAAACGAAACACAGAAACATCTATGACCGTATACTAGTCAACGAAGATTATTTATTTTTAAATTAAAGACGGCTTATTTCGAAAATAAAATGTTTCCTGCTTGTTAATCAATTGACTGACATTTTATTAGCATTCTCTTTCCTCCAAAAAATGAGCGTAGCTGTAGCCTACTTTGCCAGGGATATCCAAAAGAATTAATATATTCGCCGAAGTAATTGGATCTCCAATTTAAAATATTCATTTTTGTTTATAGTTTAACAAGTACAACGAGGAATCGCTCCTTACTAAACTGTTTAACGAATAACTATTTACGGCACAAACTATACACAGGAAATAGACTTACTGCTGATAAAATGTAAGTACATCTGTATGTAATTGAAGCCTAAATTAAATCTAAATTAACTGAACGCTGAGACGAATAATACGTCGTCTTATTATAAGTACCACATATAATAGGAATTGTAATAAAATAAATACAGAAAATGCATACTACTCAAGTTTCTTGATCAGGACTTGTTGAGACACATTGACAAAAACAATGAGTCGGCAAATAAGACCGAAAGTTAACGATGAGAAACAACTTCAGAATTTCGAATATCAATCTTATACCTTTATACTGCAGCAAATCAGTTGTACGAAAACAAATCAGATGTGTAATCCCACAATAGAACGTAATAACGCAGGAATAATAAAAAATTATCCGTCACCCTCAACGTTCAAGATATTTCTTTACCGATACGTATCACCGACCGCATTGTTTCCTGATAACATATGCCTTTTATAATCTAATAATCATATCACCACGAAATTTGTAACGTTCTCTTGGAGAGGAATGCGTAGGTTGTTAGAATGCAGTGATTTAATTACAATAATTTGATTTTAAACACATTTTATCACAAATGTAAAACAATACTGCAATGCATGTACTAATTGGCAGTGTATAGTATCCGTGAAGTCATTCCATTCAACGGTAAACGTTTTTTTCCGTACGAAATTACGACGTATGAGCAGAATTTTGCCAACATTCGCCATCTTTCACATATATCGAAAACGTAAAAGAAAGAAAAGAAAAAGAAGACTATAACCTTTCTAGTCTTTCTACAGGAAAAAATGCATTCTACTTCCGCGTTAACATTTCATTTTAAAACTTCCTCCTTCCGCAAAAAAACAACTTTATTTCAGGAAATACAAACTTTACAAGCTAGTAGTACGAATTTGAAAGGTTTCTCTGTGGATAATTAAAAAACAATTACGAGTGCTGGGAAGATCTCCATTTCCAAAGTAA